TGTCTAAGCAATAAATCCATCTTTTCAGGGATCAATTGCTGTGGCTGGCTGCAATGCCTGGAAATCCAATTAACTGAAAAATAAATAAAAAATGAAAAATATACTGAAGTTGTGGCATAAATCAGCTAGAAAATGTTCTGCACATTAAAATAAACAAGGAGAAATTTCAACTTCATTTGTCTTCTTTTCCTTTTTTTAAACCCTGTTATTGATAAATTTAGCCTTGGTTCCAATTTTGTCTTAGCCACGATTTGCTCAAGTATAGATCTGTCGGGATGGCTATCTCTGTTCTAATTATACCCTGCAGGCGCTCTCCTTAGAGAAGCCAACTCGGCTAGGATTACCTTGGTGCCATATGTAAAACTTTAGGCCCTCTCTCTCCCTTCATCTTTTTACACCACATTTGTTCTTAAAGGGGCATAAATCTGCTCTAATGTCACATGGGAAATAGGAGTTATTTTGGCTTTCTAGGACATTTTGAAAAGGACAGAGTTTTCATCAGTTGGCTGAGCAAAAGACCTTATGCCTCACTGCTACTGAGTCTGCTGGGCTGGAGCCATGACACGCAGAGCTGGACAACCTTCCTGGTGAGTCTCATGGCAGTGAACCTCACTCCCAGCTGCATCCCCAGGCTTCCTGTCAATGCCCTAGAAAGGGCCCCACTGGGGTCCAAGGAACCAGGCAACCTGCAGAAGCCACCTGGGAGACAAGTGACCAGCAAAGGCACAGAGGGATATCGCCACTTTAACTCCCCTCTGTAACTGGAACACATATTCGTTTCCTGTGGGTGTCACTATAGAGGACAATCGGGTTGAGATCCTTATTCGCAATCATGGCCAGGGTCCAGCGTGGGAGGGCTCTGCCCCTCACTCACCATGTGACTTCAGACAGTCATGAGCTGCTCTGGATGTTTCCTTGTGTGTAAAATGAGCAGACTGAAATAGAGATTCCCAAGGTCCTTATAGGTCCCACTGTTCATGATTCCCTGTTTGGTGAATTTTTTATTTGAGGAACATTTGATGAACTATAAACTAGCTCTTATGTCCTTCCTTATTTCCTGTTATCTTTTCCATGTCATCACTGAATTTGCCATCCCTGGTTATGAACACTATACAGACAACAGGTCACGTGATGTTGCCATGGAAAATAGGAAAACAAGAAGTCGACTGTTTCTCAACATTTCTCATCAGGGAAGCAAAATGACACAACACTGCTTCCCCAAAAAGCACGCTTTCACTTCATCCTACCTCCCAACACTCCCTGAATAAAACAAATGATATCAACAAATGTGAGAGGAAACCTCTCCGAGGCTTCAAAATGTGGCAGTTTTCAAATTCAAATCACAAATTTTCTGTTATCCTTAAGAGGTTATTGATTTGGTTTTACTAAAAAAAAATAGTGCTTTATTTTCTAAATTTATTTCAAAATTCTGCTCATCCAAAAACAAAACCGAAAGGAGACAAACAGGATGACAAAAAGCGATAATCATTGGAGACATAGTCATGACTACCTAGAGGTAGTTCTATGATCATAAAATTACATTTGTTGCCACAAAGAATAGAAAACACATAGGGCTTAGGGTCTCCCCTTAAGTGAAGCTGGAGAGATCAGACTTATGCAAGGAAGTTACTGGAAAACAATCTCAATACAACAGAGGGATAAATTTACCCTCTTATTCCCAAGCCTGATCGCTATAGTATTTATTCATTTATTCTACAAATGTTTCCTGGACACTAACTCTATGCCAGATACTGTGCTTGGCAAGAGGAAAACAGCAGTGAATGCCCCAGTCAAAACCTTCTTGATGTTTACAGAGGGTGATGCATATATCCAGGGGTCATGGAAACAATGGGTCAGTTTCCGGGGGAAACAATCAGTTATTTAGCATAGTGTAGACAACTGTTCTTTTATTCACCTGTGGCTGCATTTTTCTAGCAGTGTTGGCATCAAAAAGGAAGCAGGAGCCTGAGGCTCTTATCTTTCCAATCCCTCTTTCTTCTCCAAGGCAGGTAGTTACAAGTACCAAATAAGTTTCTATTCTCACTATGGGATTTTTTGGTTTAAAACTGTTTATTGATCAATAAAAAAGTAGAAAATCACAGAGTCATTGCCTGGGGAAACTATACTAGTAATTTTACAGCAGGCTACATAGTAGGGAAAGATTACAAATGTTAGTAGGCAGGAGACCCAGCTCCTGCTGAAAACAAGTCAATTCTGACAAAAATCCAAACACCTTACTGACCTTGGAGAGTCTGCACAAGGTCAATGGCAGAGTGAATATGATCATACTGGTCCTGTTCCCAGTATGTTTACTAGCTTTAGAAAAAAGTGGACAGACATCATATGTATTCCCATATGCTTAAAAGTAATAAACACTGTAAATAACAGACTCAAGTCCTCAAAGGAATGCAAAAGAGAACATACATAGAATTTAGAACAACATTTTAAAATAGATTTTAAAGTTAATTTTTAAAATAGGACTGTCACTGGGACATATTGTTGCCACTGTAACTATTTATATTAATAACTCTGACTCACCCAATGAGTCTTTGTAAGCTCAGAGAGTATCCTGGCAGTATTCATTCATCTTTTCAGTCATCCCTTCTTCCATCTGCTCAACACGGACAACTGTGGGTGTAAGCATCCAGAGCTTCCACAGGAATACCATTGCCCTAGATCTTACTCCCAACAATGATCCTAACCTTGGCTCCTTCAAGGAGAACATTCATTCCAACCCACTCAGTACCTTTCCTTCCACCCACTTGCCTTACTTCTTACCCTTCTCTATGCCCATAACCCAGATATCCCCAAAATTGCTGGGGTCAAATATTTCCAATGCTCTCCTCTGTCTGCTTGCATGCTCACCTACTTCTCCTTCCTCCATGGCTTCATGGGTCACCATCTTAATTCTCTTTTATCCACCTTCAGCTCCTCTGTTGTCTACTGAATGAATCCCATACTTGATTTCTTCTGTCAGCCTTCTTTACTCTAAAAGACAGACAGACAATGGTGTATTATCTTAAATATCATCAGGAAAAATTGCCTTTTTCAGGGAGGTAGCATGGTCTGGGGTCTAAACAGTCATCCAACCATAAGTTTTGTTTATAAGGATTGCTGGAGAATGGTGAAGAGGTAAGTGAAGGATTGCCTGTCAGTTGTCTCAACAGAGAGGGGCACCACACATTCCCAGGTGAGCTGTCCTTTTCATGCTCATGGCAAGGCTCTTGGTCTTCAATCCTGAAACCCAAAAGGTGGGTATCACCTGTCAGCTCTGACCACATTCCATCAGGACCAGCCAACTGAAGAAATAGGACAAAGTTGTTATCATTATTGGACATCTCAGCATAAAGTGGTTTCTCATTTTCCAGAAAAGGTCAGCTCTTGATGGAATGGCACCCTGCATGGGTAAAATTTGATGGGAAAGAAAAGAAGAGAAAAGGCTCACAGCACAGGGTCCTGTCTATGGCAGTCATGCCAGGTCAGGTAGCACCATTGAGAATCCTGGCAGATGGGTGGAGATTAGGGACACATCACCCCTCAGGCATTAAAGGATTGCAGAAGCAGAAAAAAATGAGAGCCTCAAAACAAAAGGCACATTCTCCACCTCTCACTTTGGTCAAAGGGAGCCTAGGTTGTATTATGGGAGAGCAGCAAGGCCACGGAATTGGGGACCTCCTTCCCTACTCTCCCATAATAGGAGAACTTAACAGTGTGAGGAGCAGCGAGGTAACTGAAGGTTCTCCCTTCTGTCATTGGGTATCATGGACCCCCCTATCAAGAGCTTGTAGTCTAGCTTTGACTCCATATCTTGAATTCATGGGGGTGAGCCTGAAGACTCAAACATGAGGGGTCTATTCATATGGAGAACTAAGGACCCTCTCGAGTAAGTCCTATGCTGAGAAAAGAGAGAACAGAGCTACAGAAGCTTGGCTCTGAGTAATAGATTGCAGTTAGAGGTGACACACTCAATGGTCCTCAATTCCAGGTTGAAGGACCTATAGCAAGATCTAGTGCAGCAATAACAAAATTCAGCATCCTATGAGTCAGAGGTGGAGAGAGACTGTAGTGAAAGCACCCATGCCTATGTGCTGATCATACATGAGGTTCTCTCAGGGACCTTCAGAGTCATTTGTGAGGCAGAGAGCCAGAGTGAGAATGTTGACTTGTGGCCGTCACCCCAGGTGGGGCCAAGAAACATGGAGGAGGGCTACCAGGCAAAGACAATCTAGGCGAAGAGCCCCAGTTTTTCAGCCCAGTGCGTCTTTTCACACAGACATTAGAGATGGCCCCAGCCGGAACTGTGGAGAATGAGTGTCAAGAAGTCCCCCCAGAAAGGAAGTTTGTGACACATGAGGTCTCCCCACATACGCAGGCCCTCACTTCACACACCCTGCTCCCCACAGATATAGCAAAGGATGGCATCATCATTCCCACCATGGTTTCTTTGGCTACAGCTACTGTTGATGAACTCTGGTCAAAGAACAAAAGGCCAAGAGACCTAGTGAGTCGTTTGGGTAAGCAAAAGACCCATATGACTGAGTTGATTTGATGTAGTTAATTAAGGAAAACACCAAACATCAAACTCCTTCAGACTCTCATTTTCCATACAATTCTGGCCTGAATGGCTTAAGGTCAGGGCTAAAGTCAGCATCACAGTTCTCCATCCTCCTCTGAAAGGTGAAAAGATCACCTGTGCCTGCCACTTAACCCCCCTGACCCTCCATAACTCCAACTACAATAAGAAGAAACTAGTACCTGTGAATGTCAGAGGGTTTCAAGGACTGATAGCATTCTCCAGATCCCTGGGGGTTAGAGGAGTAAGCATTTTCTGAATCCCAAGTATTATTACAGCAGGATTTACCCTTTTTATTTTTTTTTTAGGTTTCTATTTATTTATTTGAGAGAGAGCATGGAGCAATGGGGAGGGGGAGGGGCAGAGGGAGAGGGAGAGGGAGAAGTAGAAGCAGACGCCCCGCTGAGCAAGGAGCCCGATGCAGGGCTCCATCCCAGGACTCTGAGATCAAGACCTGAGCCACAGGCAGATGCTTAACTGACTGAGCCACCCAGGATTTATCCTTTTTAGGCCTAAAAGTGTTCTTTTCTCTTTACAGATCCTAGAAAACTGATGCTCAGAGCAGGAAAGTGACCACACACAGCCAGTCGGTGGCAGTCTCAGAATGAGCAGCTGGATATCCTGATGCACTTCTTCTGCAATTCAGCTGGGACAACCAGATTGACCTGGTGGATCTGGGGGCAAAGAGCAAACACGACCTGATTCATTCATGGTGCCTGAAGAATACAGCCCTCCAGAAAAAAGCATCTTCTCAGAATCCTCTGTACTTTGGCTTTCCTATCCTTGCTGGTACTGAAACTCCTTCAGGTAGGCCCATGCCATTTCTGTGGCCTTTTTTCCCAAAAGAATAACCAGTCTTTTCTTCTAATTTCTACTTAGTAATGTTGCAATAGTGAACTTTTTCCTTCCGTACTTCCTCATTAAAGTAATGCAGGGTTGGTTCAGCGGAAAGCTGATTTGAGGTCCTCACCTTTGTAACTGAGCCCTGGTCTCTAATTGGGATCTCCTCAGCAACATCCCTGTTGTCAATGGCAGGAAGACTTCTTCAGCTTGGTTATGAATTCTGATTTTTTTACCTTAAGTCTTGAGGACTCCCTACAAATAAAATTTTAATATAATTGGTTTCGGTGCATCTAGGAGCCTTTTAATTACCCTCTGAAAGATGCTTGGGCAACAGCTTGTTATTAGATTAAACAGTGTCAGCATCTGTATTGTAAACATGAACAGGTTTGTTACATTTTTGCAAACCAACATTTGCCTTCTATTATTTTTTTCTCTAAGGCGACTCTTTTAGGGGTACAGCTCCAATCCAATAGACAAAGTGGACACCATGCCAATGGGAACACCATCTTTTCTCCTTACTCCCCTCCACATTGGATCCTGGCCATTTCAGACACCTTCATAAAACCACAGGGCACCTTGCAATAATTCAGGAGCCCATTACACAGCAGGCCGACTCCACAGGCAGGCCCTCCCCTGCTCTGACGTAGCACGCCCGGCCATTTCACTGCTCATTAGCCCCTTTTCCAGAGAGTGAGCAGAGAAAACAAGAGGAGATAAAATTCAAACCCATCCGTTTGCCTCCTATTAGCTGCTGTAGTTAAAAGTTTAATGGAGGAGCAGGCTGGAATGATTAATTAATATAAAGTTTAAAGAGTGTCTCTGAAGCTCATTTGTTTAAGCTCTTCCTTTCCTCCCGAATCACCTATGGTACACGATGCGCTGGCCGCAGGACTGGGATCCAGTCGGCCAGAGGGAAGATGATCATGGCAAGGGGCTGAGGAAAGAAAACTGACATTAGATTTTCTTTCTACCAAATCCAAAACTTTATGTTATCTCATACAGCCTTTTTGAGTTTTTTAATTAAATTAGAAAAAAAAACTATCTTATGCCTAGTAAAAACCAAAATGACGGCTTCTTTCTTTGTGTATTCCATTTATAGAAACACTACAGGGAAATTCATACTTCCAGAAATAATAAATCTTAATAATGTCATCAGGAAAACTGACTCTTAATGATAAAGAATTTACACAAGATACTAAGCAAACATTGCAGCAAGTTAATCGAGGCTTAAATAAACAATTAATAGTGATCATGCAAGATAAGCCCTTCAAAAGGAAGAAATAGAAGTTTGAGCTTTTCAAAAGGAATATTTACCTGTGGATAGAAAGAAATATGTATTAAATTTAAAGAAATAGACAAGCAGTATCTTCCTCTAAACAAAAGATTGTTGTCTCACACTTTATATTTGTTGGTTTATCCTGAACAGTATTTTAATATTTCATCAGAAAATTCTTTTCCCTCTAAGTGCGTGGTTTTTTCCATTATATCCAAGTGTATACCCAAACTTGAAAGGTTTTACAGAAGGAATACATCTCTAATCTTTGAAAGACATGATAAAATACATGATTTAGTGAAATTCACTTTATTATCACATTTGCAAGAATATATCCAAGGCACACAATGAGGTCTCCCTACACATATGATACAGGCTCTATTTCCTAAGTCATTTTATCCAAAACTCAAGGACAAATCACCCATAGAGCATGGAGAAATTGAGAGACTGAACTGGAATAGGAGTCAGCTGGGTTATAGCTATGGAAACTTGGACCAACCACTTCCCTCCCTGGGTCTCAAGGTGTCCTCTAACTCAACAATTTTGTGTTCTAGGAGATAGGGGATCAGATCAGATCAGAAGCAAGGCCAGATGAGTTAGAGAAGTGCAAATTCAAAGTTCAACTGAGGGTAGAAATGATACTACATGACAGGTTTGAAGCTGGAAACCTCTAATTAACTGGAAATGATGAGGGGAGGGGGAGGGAGGGCACTCTCGGTCTAGAATCTGAAGCTCAGCACTAGTGTTTTATGAATTTTACTATCTCACCTAGATATAATCAGGCTCTCAAAACGCTTTGGCAAGGGGGGAGGGAGGATTTATAAGCCATAATGCCAATCTATTAATCTACCAATGGGGATAGATATTTATAGTGACTGAAATACTCCTCATAGCTATTTAGAGTGACGGTTCCTGTTATTAAGGTGACTAGACCCTTGAACCAGTCATCAAAACATTACCCAGTGAGTATAGAATTAGTTAGAGCTGAGCTGAGAGAGGAAGGAACAGTATATGGAACTTCTAAGGTCAGATGAAAGAAAGTGTTCTTAACCAAGGTTCTCAGACCTAGGCCTGGGTTTCAAGGCATCTGTGACCATGCTGAAACAGTATGCAGAACTACATATGAATGTGGCCATGTGCATTTTTCTAAGAGTGTCCATAGCATTCATCATCTTCTTGACATGGCCCGTGATCTCTAAAAGTTCATGGACTGTTGGGAAACAGAAGAATAGACTCAAGATAGACAGAGTAGTCTGAAGCAGCTCTGAGGAGTCTGAAATCAGGAGCCAGAGCTGAGTGGCAGTGTGAGGATTCTCAGGGAAGGGTTAGGTCAGGAAGGATGGGCCAAGTAGAGGCCTGGTCCAGGCCAAGTGGGATGCCCCCGCACTGACTCCAGGGACTCCACAAGAAACCTCCCTCACATGTAAAGGTGCAAGGCCTGCCATATCACCAGGGTGGGACTCCTGTACATCCTGCTGAACAGTGCAGCCAATTCTACAGGATTACTCATAAAAGATAGGAGGCATCAGACTGGGTCCCAATCACCCCAACTTCAGCCTAGCTCATGCCAACCCCCTCTGACAGAGCACTGCCCCTCTATCCCCTATCTTTTGTCTTCCCCTAAATCCATCCTTTGATTTCTTTATGGGCAAAAGGGGACAACTCGGGAAGACCCAAGGACACCAGTGGAACACACAAGTATTACCTCTCACAAGAGCTTTTGTCAGAGTAGATGGTTGACTCATTGGGCCAAGGTGGGCATTCAAATGTAAAGTTTAATTAATTAAGATTAAATAAAATGAAAAATTAACTTCTTCAACCACACAAGCCACATTTAAAATGTTCAATAGCCACATACACTTAGTGGCTACTGTTATTGAACAACACATGTATAGGATATTTCAGTCATCACAGAAAGTTCTTTTCTATATAACCCAGCACTAATCTCTATAAACACAAACAGTAATTCCAGTAATGATTCAGAAAAGGGTAGAGCCTGAAGTGAGCAGAAATAGCTAAAATGCTTCAGGCAGGAAATTGGACTGACACTGAACCTCCAGATGAGATGACAGCACGGGAAGGGGCATTCGTTCTGAAGCATGGTAAGAAGAAAGGTAAGAATGAGGAGAAGAAACAGGCATAGACCGGGATGGAGTCTGGTGCATGTTCATGGTGAATATGTACTACAGGGATGAAGGAATGAGTGAATGGCAGGAGACAAGATAAGTAGGTAGGCTGGAGGCAGATTGCACAGGCATTTCCATATCTGGCACCGTAAGTTAGGCCTGACAATAATAGCTACCAACATTGGCTACCATTTACTTAATGCTCACTGTGTTCCAAACTTCATACCAAGAGATTTATATAAATTATTAAATATAAATTATTAAATTTACTCCTTGCAACACCAAGAAGTAAGGACTTTTAATTCCTATGATGAGAATGACAAAACTGATGTTCGGCGAGTTTAGGTAACTAATACCACGAACAAGCAGCTTGGAAATGGGGGGCTGGCATTCACTCCCAATGCTGTTGTTTCTAGTGCTTTCACCCTACACTTGCATGCCCCTGCCTGTCCTCCAAACATCTTTCTTTTTGATTAGGAAGGGCTTTGCCTTCACCCTTTGCAATGTATATCAAGTTTCCAAGGCATCTCTTCTGGAAATCAGTTTACCATTTTCTGACACTAAGGGGAAAACTCTCTTAACAGGGCCCCCATCCTGGTCCTTCATAGTTTAGACCATGTGACATCAGCAAGAACAGGAACGGGACAGAGGAGTTTGGAAATGGCAGCATTTGGCCCTGTGGTGTGGATAAGGGGCATCTAGACAAAAAAGCTGGTGTATTCAAGGTCTCACCAACTTTTCAGTTGATGTCTAGGCCAAAAGTCATCTCCCTGTCTCCGGAGTTCCAGCCACCTATCAGAGATTCAGGGCAGGATTTCTGGCTCCACGGGCTCTGGGCACCTTTGTGGCCCTTCTCATTGTCTCTCATTCCTCCAAAAGCTTGCTTGCTACCTTTCTGTAGGTTTGGGTTTTGGAGTTTGCACATATGGATTCTTCCCCCTCATAACTATGACTACCATTTTTGCTGGCTGCTCCTAGGGCAGACGCAGTCTTGGATGTGACTAGATTGGAACAAAACATTTCCCACAATTGAGAAAGAAGTTAACATGCTTTTCCACACCTCCATACTTTTTCTATAGAAATAGAATACTTCATTAAGTTAACAAAGCATAACAATTCATTTCAAATTATTATAGACAAAAATTTATTACAGCATTTAGAGCAAGATTTAAAGAAATGCATATACCTTGTTGCTACCTTTAGCAGTCATCATTCACCACTTAATCTAATCCTGGCACTCACTCACAGCTTAAACTTGAATTCACCCTGTGTCTTTCCTTAGAGTTTAAATCCTTTTTGGGGTTGACACTTGGCTTTTTTTTTTTTCTTCAGGGTATTAGAGATTTTGGCACCAAAAATATTCCACATGGTTTCTCTCTAGCTTTTCCCAATTTTAGCTACCTTCACACAGCTTATCAGTAAGACGGTGCCCCACTGTGGTCTTAGCATTTTAATTAACAGTCTTGCTGTCTAATCACTCTGTTCTTCTCATGAGAGGCTGACCTTCCACTCCATGCCATTTGCCAACAGCCAAGAAGAGAAATTAGAGTCAAGTCACATAGTATACATGGTGCAGAACGAACACACACACACACACACACACACACACAGTAGCTTTTCTCCTTTTCATGTAAGAAAGAGGTGATTTGACACAAAGGGGAAGGCCTTCTTCAACCAGGCTTTCTGTCCACAGTAGTCAATTGTTTATTTTCTTACTTGGTTGTTTTTGTTTGTTTGTTTTTTAGGTTTTATTTATTCATTTGAGAGAGAGAGCATGTGCACAAGCAGGAGGAGTGGCAGAGGAAGAGGGAGAAGCAGGCTCCCCACTGAGCTGGGAGACCAACACAGGGCTCCATCCCAGGACCCCGAGATCACCACCTGAACCAAAGGCAGACGCTTAACCAACTGAGCCACCCAGGTGCCCCTTTAATAAGGCCTAAAGACCTCCCAATTCATTCACAATCCTCCTTCTACCTACACAATATTTCAACAGAATATAATATTTTTAAGCCAGATTGAGAAAAGTTTTTCTACGATATCTTATTTTAGTAGGTTGTCAGATATAAGGGTAAAACATCCTATTTCTATGTACAAAAATAGAATTCAAATTTGTACATTATGGGAATAAGTTCTTTCTGAGTTCTATGAGGAAAGTTGCTCTTCTAACAGAATCAAAATCACAGGGAATGCCAAATGCCAACTTGTAAATTTGGGGATTATTGGAATTGGGAAATCATCATTTTGTAACCATCAGGGCAAAGATTGGTTCAAGCAAGAATCATCAATGGTTGCTAAATCTGGAGGGGAATATTGATGGTGAGCACAATATCTGCATGGTCTTAAAGGGTTTCCTTAAAGGTGGGTGAACAAAATTAGCATCACCAAAAAGAGGCAGTCAGACTACGTGTGCCTCCAGATGTAGTACTAGCTGAAGGTTATGCCTGGAATGCATCAGACTGTCAGGAAACATCAGACAAACCGAAAATGAAAAACATTCCTTTTTTTTTTTTTTAAGTACCGAATTCTTCAAAAATACCAGTGTCTTCAACAGAAAAGGAGGCAAGCCATAAGAGACTTTTAACTCTAGGAAACAAACTGAGGGCTGCTGGAGGGGAGTTGGGTGGGGGGATGGGGTAACTGGG